TATTGTAGTTTTGGATTGTGGTTTTTGTCACCCCTTGATGGAGTCAAAAAGCGAGACATGAATATGCTGTTTTTGGCGGCGGCAGCGGCGTTGTTGTCGTCATTGTCATCAACAATGTATTAGTTTGTGATTAGGTCAGTTAATGGGGAAGCACTATTGGTAGGTCATTGAGATTTGGTATGCAGTTGTTTTAGCATTGGCACATCTCATTTCCATGCAGATTTTGCCCCTTCCTCTCAGTCATAGTCTAATGACTTTGAAACTTTTGGCTTAACTTACTAGTAATTAGTTTGTGAGTAGGTCAGTTTATGGGGAACCACTAGTGGTAGGTCAATGATATTTGGTATGCAGTTGTATTAGAATTGGTACATCTCATTTGAATTCCATTGGCCCTGTAGCTTCCATCATGGTTCATTGACTTTAAATATTTTGCATACTAACTTTACATGTTAAAGTATATCTATTTTAATTTCAACATTTGCATTTTACTATCAAAATAACAAATGGGCGAGACATATCTCTGTGTTAACAGTTTATGTTGATAAAAGATTAATTATATGAGAGTTGTTGCAAGGTTTATGTTATGTGCAGAGTGTTTGGCACTCACCATATACACAGGGCATTTGATTTGATGACCCCATTAGGACAGGAATTATAACCATAATAGCCTCTTGTATTGGCAGCTTTGCAGCGTAATAATTTTTATGCCCTGTCTAGGATAGTAGAGAAGGATTACATTTTTAGTCCCCTACTGACAAGTCGAGGGAGACTTTAGGTTTGCACTCCATCCATCTGTCTGTCCATCTGTCAGTCCGGCAAATCAGTTTTCCACACTTTTTTTCTTCGTGCTTGAAGATATTGATTTGATATTTGGTTACAGGTATATGGTTTTATCATGACAAGTTACAGATCAAGTTCGTATTTTCTTCTGGTCTGAAGATTTTGTGCAGAGTTATGGTCCTTGAACTTAGAAAATTCACTCAAATAATCAGTTTTCCACACTTTTTTTGTCATGCTTGAACTTTCCAAAAACCAAACAGATGAATGGTCGATGCCTTTAAAAGTGCAAAGTCAATATATATATACTGAATATACATATATTTTTAAAAATCTAGTCTTACACTACGCTTTTTATTTCAGTACGGAAAACAATATATCTAATTAATATTTGAACACTTTAAATAAATATTGTATTTGTCCTTTGAAAACTTGGAGATGACCGCTGCTCTGTAGACAGTATGCTGACTTTTGTCTGCCTTTTCTGGTGTCTATGCCCCTCCCCTACTCATTCTTTTAATGTGTAGTAGGCGATATTCAGCTGTTTTAATCTGAATTTGTGAGATTGGTATGGTTGATTAATCTATGTTTTTTTTTAAAGTTTAACAACCAATACTTTGGCATACTCTCACAATTTAATTGTTTGCACGATCATTAAACGTTCTGCTCTAATGTTTGACCTTTAAGCCTTTGCCGTCCGTCCGTCCGTCGTCAGTCTTGTAAATCAGTTTCATCAGTTTTTTCTTATGTGCTTGATTATATTGATTTGATATTTGGTTTATAGTTTTATCATGACAAGTTACTTACAGATCAAGTTTGAATTTTGTTCCGGTCTGATGATTTTGTGCAGAGTTATGGTCCTTGGACTTAGAAAATTCACTCAAATAATCAGTTTTCCTCACTTTTTATACGCCCGTTTACGGTACGATTATGGTTTACTGTTGTCCGTCTGTCGGTCCATCCGTCTGTCCGTACGTCGTCAACATGTCGGACATTAACTCAAAAACGCTTTAACCAATTTGCATAAAACTTTGGTGAATTGTTTATATCTATTGACATGAGCTCTCTTTCGTTTTTTATAAATTTTAGATTTTACGTTTCCGAGTTATGGGGTTTTATTCATTGAAAAAGGGGGATTTTCCAGTTTTTGGACAATAACTCAAGAATGCTTTCACCAACTTGCAAGAAATTGTGGTGAATTGTTTATATCTATTGGCATGAGCTCCCTTTTGATTTTTATATATTCTAGATTTTACGTTTCCGAGTTACATGATTTTATTAATAAAAAAAGGGGGATTACAGGGTTTTATTAATACAAAAAGGGGGATTTTCCAGTTTTCGGACAAAAAATCAAAAATGCTTTCAGCAATTCTCATGAAACTTTGGTGAATTGTTTATATCTATTGATGTAAGCTCCCTTTACATTTTCATAAATTTCTAAAATGACTGAGAATTAATTGAACTTTATTTGTTTATAGTCTGACAACAGATTTACTAAGTATTGCACAACAACACAGTGTATTGCACAACAGCAAGAAATCTTTAATTGAATATCAATTCAATTCATATAACCAATTTCAAGTTCTTTGACTACATTTATTCAGAAACCTATAATATGTCAAATATTTAATACAATCCAAATTCAGACCTGTATCAAGCTTGAATATTGTGTCCATTTTTGCCCCAACTGATCAGGGTTGGACCTCTGCGGGCGTATCCAGCTGCGCTCAGCGAAGCAGTTTATTTTTGTTATGCTTGAAAATATTGATTTGATAATTGGCATATAGTTTTATGATGACAAGTTACAGATCAAATTCAAATTTTGTTCCGGTCTGATGTTATGGTCCTTGGACCCTGAAAATTCACTTAAATAATCAGTTTTCCACACTTTTTTTGCGTCATGCTTGAAGATATTGACTTGATATTTAATGTTATATAGTTTACACCATGACAAGTTAAAGATCAATTTTGTTCCACTCACTCACAGTACAATGAATTTTTAACTGGTAGGGGACTATGTATTGCTATGCAATACTCTCAGAATGCATGTTTAGTCTGCATTTTGTCCGTCCTTTAGTCTGTCTGTCCTGTATCAGGTTAAATTTTTGGTTACAGGTAAAGGTTGGTTAAAGTTTTGGTTTCAGGTTTTTTGTGCTCACATCAACTCAAACTTAGTACACGTTTATGTGTGGTGAACTATTTACTTGTGCAGCTGGGCATTATGGACTTAGGACACATATTCTTGTTTTACCATGTTTTTAATATCATTTAAACATAGATGGTAGCTTTGTTTTTATAGAGCAGTAACCAGAACATTTTTGAGAATTTTGTTTGTCTGTAAGCCACATTTATCATGATGGGGAGGAAATATTAGTATTAGTATAATGCCACATTGCATGTAGAATATATGGCACCTCATTCTTGGTTCATTAGCTTGTAAACTTTTCAAACCAGTTGTTTAGAAGTCAATATTTGCATTTCTCTATTGAACTACTCACAGACAAGACATATTTCTGTGTCAATAATTCGTCATTCTGTTTATTTATTTATTTTAGTCCGCTATTCTTTGTATGATTTTAACTAGATCTGAGTATCTGACTTTTAATTTTATGTCCATAATTATTTTTCAATTATTACTTTGTATTTGTGCAGAACTGCATGATACGTACTAATGAGTTACGAGTATTTTAGTCCTAAAAATGGTCTGGATGTTTTGATTATTAGATCACCCAAAATATTTATGTATTTGTCACACAGATTAAAGTACCTGGTGTTTTTAAATCCATTTGTAGTTGGTATGAATGCATTAGTAGTTCATTCATTAGGGAAAAAAATGGTTTAAAAACTTGTATGGTGCACAAATGTTGAACATGGAGAACTTTTGTTAAAATGCACGTAGCTCAGGTACAATTATCTGAGTGAATTTTGATATTATAAAGGGGCTTTTCATTTGAATGTTTGTGTGGAAGCTGTTTTTTAATGGCTATATTATGAGTTCATAAAAGATAAATTATTTTAACAATTAAGTGTTAACTGTAGCAGTGCGTATTACAAAATGTTTACTGTTTATACCAAATTTAAATTAGTATGTGTCCTTGATGTTAAAAAGATTTAGTTATTTGTAAATTTTGTGGTTTATAAAGAGTACTTATAACAGTGTAATACATGAATGTGAAATACCAGATGAGGATCCAAGATTTTGAAAGGGGGGGGAGGGGGCAAACTAGGCAATGTTTGGAGTGGGAAATGTAAAAAGTCTATACATCAACCATATTGATTAATTTTCTCACTCAGTTGGCCAGAAGGTGATTTAAAATGTACTTTTTTTATGCCCCACCTTCAATAGTAGAGGGGCATTATGTTTTTCGGTCTGTGCGTCCGTTCTTTTGTCCATTCATCCGTCTGTCCCGCTTCAGGTTAAAGTTTTTGGTCAAGGTAGTTTTTGATGAAGTTGAAGTCCAATCAACTTGAAACTTAGTACACATGTTCCCTATGATATGATCTTTATAATTTTAATGTCAAATTAGAGTTTTGACCCCAATTTCACCCTCCACTGAACATAGGAAATGATAGTGCGAGTGGGACATCCGTGTACTATGGACACATTCTTGTTAACAGTTAATTATAACTTTTAGAAGCATCTTCCAAGAGAACTTTTTCTTATAATTTATGAAATATAACTAACCCATAATTTCTATTCATATAATGCTAATGGGAAACAGATATACTTAGTATAGAGACTCTGTTTTAATGATTCACAGTTTATCCTTTTAATACCCTACCTGTCCTCAAAATCACACACTCCCCAAACCAACCTGCAAAAAACTCAAATATTGCACAATAAGATGTTTAATATAAGTACTTACTACGGACACAGTAATTTAATATCATTTCACAGTTAACTCATTGTAGCATCAGGAGGCCTCGGTAGCAGAGGGGTCTAAGTAGTTACTACTGTAATCACTAGCCAGTCAACACTGAGGTTGTGAGTTCGAACACCGCTTGTGCGGGTGCACTCGACTCCAATCTTAATTTACTAGGATTGCCAGTTTTCCTAACGAAGGTCATGGTTTTCTCCGGGCACTCCGGCTTCCTAAACTGGCCGCCACGAAATAGCCCAAAAGCGGTGCTTAAAAGTGGCGTTAAAACACCAAAAATAAAAATCAAATCATTGTAGCATCACTACAGTTTGACAATTTGTTTATGCATTGTTATATTTTCAGGTTGCTTTGGTAGAAATTCAGATTGAAGAAGATGTATCGCCAGCTCTTCTGATTGTGTTTAGTGTGTGTACCACGTTACTTGTTTCCGTACATCTCCTGGCATTGATGATCAGTACATGCATCTTACCAAACATAGAGGCAGTCAGCAATGTACACAATGTCAATGCAGTCAACGAATCTCCACATGAAAAAATGAACATTTTAATTCAAATGGCATGGGCTTTTTCAACAGGACTTGGAATATTGTTGTTTTTGACGGAAATAGTGCTGATATGCTGGGTAAAGTTTGACGTGAAGAAAATCGGAAATAATAAAGGAGCAGCATGGGCGTCAACAGCTGTGGTCATTCCAGTGGGAGTTATTTTTATTATATTTTCATTCCATTTTTACCGACAGTTAATTTCACATAAAGTTGAACAGAAAGCTAAAGATATAGAAGAGTTAGCCAGACTGGCCAATGATATAGATATGAATAATCATAACAGTGGTGGCATCCAAATTGTCTAAATGTTTTTATCTATTTTGTTATTTTACATTGATTTTGTACTTGTTACTTGTTGTTGCAAAATTTATTTAAGAAGGCATTGTTTGAAATTGTGGGATTGTTTCCACTAATTTGTAGATATTTAGTACCTTGTACCCATGGTTACAGTTGTGTAGTATGATATTACTGCTTTGCATTTTTAATATTTGTTACTATCATTTCCTTTTTTAACAGGTATATGGTGCACTCTGTTGATTGAAATTAGATTTCAATATTTAGTGTGCAAAAATGATGGTTTTGTGTTTGTGTTTTTTCTGAAGTAATCTGCCTTATCAATGCTTATAGACCTTTTGTTACAATTTCCATGTCCAGTAAGTATTTTTGCTATGAAAACTCCCCATAAGGTTTTAAATGATTATTCTTGTAAATTTTGCATTATTAAGTTACCTCAAGTAGTTCAATACTGGGCATCAAAGGGCTAACATGTATATGTCAGGTCTTATGTGTTACTAGTTATCAGTCTGTACCTACTTGCGCATGGCCCTAAATGATTGACATTTGTGTTTTTAAACAGCGGATTATAAAGATGATCATACATTTTGTGGTTAGCTTGATTTGGTAAGGAAATTAGATTGTTTAAAAATGTGTAAAATCTTTTTATGAGTTCGTGCACCGAATATGTTTATATTTTGCCTCATTTTTGTGAATATGAAGAAGACAAATTTAATACTTTTATACTGGTAATGTATAAAATTTTGTGTTCTTATGATGTCTTTTGATTTATGTACATTGTCAACTGTATTACAAAATTATTACAAATTGAGATATATTTTTATGAGGATCTGGATGGGGGTCCTTCGTTTCTGTTTTCTTTAATTATTAGGTCATTTCTCTATATTCTTTATATTTTTGGTCCAGTTTTCTCTATTCTTTATCACTGTTTATATTTTAGCACCCCTTTATTCTGTATTCTTTATTTTATTGGTCCATTTTTCTCTATTCTTTATTATATTAGTCCATTTTTCTCTATTCTTTATATTTTTGCCCATTATTCTCTATTCTGTTAACCCCCATCCAGACCCTCTTTTATGTAAAGAATATTGATCAGTTTGCTCAACTATTTGAGACAACGAAGTAGGATGCAATATATATACTGATGCATTATGGGATAAAGAAATTTGATGTCGACTTATTTTTTTCTTTACCTTTTTAAATTTTATTCTCATATCTATTTTTGTTGAAAAATAGTTTAAGTAGAAAGATTAAATTTTACATATATTTTACTACTGCAAACAAGTTAATAGCTTTATTCAAACATTTATAACATTGCCTTATGCTTGCCAAACTCTCCACTAAGTTGACATATGTTGTATTCCTTGATTATAACTTTAACATCCAACACATTTTTAAAAGCACTTACTCAAATAACACTAATTCCAAGGGTTTAACATTATATGACAAGTGGGAACAACTTTTTTAATAATTTCGTATCTGTAAATAGTAAAATATTTCACACTTTACTTGATTTTAGGCCAAATAGAAACACTTTTTATTAGGCCAAATAATTTTATTGGTTTTGCCAATGTTAAACAGACCATTGGAAAAATTTCTCACAGTCGACTTAAATCTACCTGTCCTGCAATAAACCTTCAGTCTCTAATTTCATTAGATTAATTTTCTTAAATATTTTTCAACAAGGTTATTGTCTCAGTAAATCCCCTGTTTTTCTCTAGTTTAGGTTCAAGAAATATGTCTACTAGTCTTGCTACTAACTCCAGTTAAACTGAACAATTAATGTGATTATAATAATATAGAAATTTAAAAACTTAAAAAATCAATCAATCAATCTTATTGTAAGACTAGATAATAATTATTTCCCTTTTGAATAGATCTCACACTGATTATATTTAAAATGGAAAGAAAAATAAGAATTTTCCCATGTATCATGTGTATATTTGATATGTTCCCATGTATCATGTGTATATTTGATATGTTCCCATGTATCATGTGTATATTTGATATGTTCCCATGTATCATGTGCATATTTGATATGTTCCCATGTATCATGTGTATATTTGATATGTTCCCATGTATCATGTGTATATTTGATATGTTCCCATGTATCATGTGTATACTCTAGGGATTACAGTCAGTAAATAAATAGCATTGCAAAGTGCAAAATCTTTAATAAGAAAAGCATTCCAGAAATTTATCATTCGTTTTCTTCAAAAATGGGAAATGATAACTGATATTAGTTTTCAATGTCCACCTCTGTTATAGTAATGTTTTTCTACAATTCTTTGTGTATAGCATACTATGTAAGTTATTTCATTGAATATTGTAAATATTATTTATTTATAACTCTTCCTATATTTCCTGTAAGACAAATGTGCTGACAGATTGTACAGATTTGATGGTTTATTGTTGTAATTTTTTCTTTTATCTAATATTTAACATTAAATGTGCCCAACTCTGACAGATCATTAATTTAAGATAATGCATTAATATTATCATTCTATCATGTTTATCTTTTCTTTATCTTGTAATATTTTATTATGAAAGATACTACTTGTTAGATTCATGTTAATTTTGTGGTGAAAAATGAAATTTTTAAATATGTCTCCTGTTTACGATAAAAAAAGATAGACAAAAATTGTTTTCTCTTTCTATTGTAAAATATCTATCAATTTGGTATTTAAACACAGTTTTGAGCTATGAAGAATTTATAGACAACATCATTGAAGTTAATCTCTATCAAGAATTTGTTTTGGAAAGTTAATATTTCAAGTGGTCAATTGATGTACATGTCCCTGATAAAAGGACATTTTCCTTGAGATTATAAGTACTTAACTAAAGATATATCAGATAATAAAGGCTGATTGTCACTTTAAACATCGTAAGGACAGAAGATATATCAGATAATAAAGGCCGATTGTCACTTTAAACATCGTAAGGACTAAAGATATATCAGATAATAAAGGCTGATTGTCACTTTAAACATCGTAAGGACAGAAGATATATCAGATAATAAAGGCTGATTGTCACTTTAAACATCGTAAGGACTAAAGATATATCAGATAATAAAGGCTGATTGTCACTTTAAACATCGTAAGGACTAAAGATATATCAGATAATAAAGGCTGATTGTCACTTTAAACATCGTAAGGACTAAAGATATATCAGATAATAAAGGCTGATTGTCACTTTAAACATCGTAAGGACTAAAGATATATCAGATAATAAAGGCTGATTGTCACTTTAAACATCGTAAGGACAGAAGATATATCAGATAATAAAGGCCGATTGTCACTTTAACCATTGTAAAAGACTAATGTACATGTACCTACAAATAAACCGGAAAACTAATTTTACAAATTTTGACTTTTACACTTTTTGAGGAGTTCATGTTCAATTTATGAGATATAATTATAAGTTCTATATAATGCATTGAAATTCTGGGTTGATAAAGTACTGTAAAATTTAGAAATTGTTGCGAGGTTTTCATTAATGCGAAGAATGTGACAGGGTGATGATCGCAATAATAAGAACTTGCATTCCGATATCTAATGCATATACCTGTATGCAGATTTTCCCTAAATTGCAATAATTAATCTTGCATTTTTGTCCATTCTTCAAAAATCGCAATAATACATGTACACAATTAATTGCTGAATTTACAGTAACTGAGTCCATTGGATGCTTATCATTACTTACTTAGTGGACACTGGAAATTTTACTGGAAAGTCCAAAGTTAAATACTTTAAACCAACTAATTTAGCAAAACATTTATTTACCTGATTTAGCAAGTAGGAAAATAACAGGAGTAGTTATTGTCATGATAATTTCAAACTTTCATCTTCAAGTAAATTTATAAAGTAAATGGTCAAATGATTAATTAGTAAGGACTAGATGCAGAAAAGGTTTTCGTAAAAATAGATTTATTACATCTATTTTGTCAGTTTATTATCGACTTATGAGTTTGAATGTCTATTTGATATCTTTCGCGTTCTTTTACAGTATTTGAAAAAAATTAGATATTACTTTCCTTGTTCAATATGAAAATAAGGAGATATGGTATTATTACCAATAAGACATTATCCACCAAATACAAAGGGACGTGGATGTAAGCAACTATAGGTCACAGCACTGCCTTCAACAATACAAAGAAACAGACATCATTCGAAATTTCATAAAACCCTTAAAAAGCTTCAAATACATGTGTTTTTGTAAAGTCTCTAAACAATTATTTTCTAAATTCTTATATTTGAATCTAAAGCATAGTAAAATGATGTGGTATGTGGAAATGACAAGAAGTGTGTGTAGATTTTATGTATCCTTTCTATTGTTTTGAGTGGTTGATGAAAAGCAATGCTTTGTTTTATATTTAGTGCATGTATTTTATTCTGTGAATGAAGAAAATATGTTTCTTAGATTTCAGTCGAGAAAGAAAATATAAATATTCTTTTGGTAAGCTTTGTTGTTGGATTGTACCTTTAAAGCTTCCCTCATGCATCTTTTATTCATTCTTACATTCTATTTAACAAGCAAAGAGGATACAAATATTTCATGAAAGTTAAAAGGCATTTCCTTAGTAGTTTTCCATAATATCAGCTCTTTCTTTCATTTTTTAACACATACAGTTACTTGTTTTTAATTGTGGTACATAAGTTAAGGTGGATTTATTTTCATGGATATCAGTTTTCGTAGATTGAGGAAAAACTATATATATTTTCAAGAATATTTAATTTTCTGGTTTTGCCAGTCTCCACACAAGCCTATATATAGAGAATGTATACTTCATTGAACATTTAAATTCCTGATTTACCTATACCCACAAAATCCACCTAAATTGGCATCCATCCCATAATAATAAATCCACAGTATGTTTTAATTTGTAATATTCATTTATGAATCAGAATATGTTACTTTAATCATGAAAAACATAAATTATTGTTTAATGTTTTGTAATAACACAGTTCATACTGTTTATAAAAAGTAAAAGAAACTATCATTCAATTTTAAAGACTTCATGTTTTTTTAGCCAGAGGCAAGAGAAAGTCTTATAGCTCAAGTGCTTTGTCTGTGTCTGTCCAAACCACAAAGAGCAGAGGTAGATTTAGGGGGGGCAGAGGTGCCCCCCCCTTTTATTGAGAAAAATTTTTGGTTAATGCATTGACTTTTTACATGTCGCACTCCAAACGTTGCTTAGTTTGGGGGCCTGGCACCCCTTTTTTCAAAATCCTGGATCCGCATCTGTTGAGAGTACCGTTTTTGTGATCTGTCTCACACAGTTATCCTAAGACATATTATCAACTTTGTTCAGGTTGTGAACATAGTGTTATGGACAAATTTTAAAATTTCATATACCTTTTAAAATTGGTGTTATAGTGCATACTACAGAAAAGAATGACTTCTTATTTGGTCAGCACCTTGACTGTGATGAGTTGTAACATGTGAACACTTTTCAGATCTGTCAGACATCTGGTTCCCATTTACCAGAACTTAAAATTTTTGCATTATGTTGAATGAACTTTAATTTTTTTGTCACACTTTTGTCAAGTACTACTGAACAAAATGACTTCATATTTAATCTGCAGCATGGCAATAATGAGTTTTAATGTGTGAGTGCTTAACAGATATGTCTGACACCAACTTCCTGTTCTACAATACTTTGAATTATAAGTCTCATATGAGCTCAGCAACCTGTGTATTCTTGTTTTTGGGGTAAAGATTACATGAAATGCAATCAAAACCCTTATGGTACTGACTTGATATCTAGATTTTCCAAGGTTTATCACTACTTTTGACAGTTCAAGCAAAATAGTGCAGTGAGGTGATCATTCTTTAGATCCTATCCAGTCAATGTCATGCAAGTTATTTATAATATGTTATACTATTAGATATTCAACTTACAATATGATGTGTATTTGATTATTGATACTTGTCAAGAAAAACTTTTTTTTTAATTGAATGCATGGTGTATGAATCTGTTATAATAATAGGTTCAACTACAAATGTACAACCATGAAAATTGAATAAAGGAAGATAACTCCAACTCGAATTTGTAATTTGCCTAGCTAAATATAATTCAGTGTCACAAAATTGCAAAATGAAAGCAATATTTTGCCTTCAGTGTTCACAAGCACTTTGATTCAAGGTTTCCCATGTGTGGAACTCATTCTTATTTTTTTCCCGTACTATAGAGAGTACCTATTTTGGGTCAACCATATAAACTCCAACATTATTACTCAAACATTATTCAACCTTTGCACAGAGATTGAAAATGTGCACCACTTTTTTTAATACTGTATACTCAGAAATTAATGCATGCATTTATTATTGCGAATTCTTGACATCTGAAAATACTGCGAAATCTAATTATTGTGATTGCAAAAACAAATTATGAACAGTGCAATCTGGGATAAAACCCTGATTTGACATATTTATATTGAATGGTTCACTTCATAATGAACATATGTACTAAGTTTCTAAGGATGTGACCACAAACTACCATAGACCAAAACTTTTACCTACCTTGAACCAAAACTTAAACCTTTCTTAAACCAAAACTTTCACCTACTTTAAACCAAAACTAAAAAAAAATAAAACCTAACCTGTCACATTTCCTTGTTCAATGGATGTGAGAACAAACTATTTGACCAAAACTTTAAGCTCATAAGGAACAGGTGGACGGACGCACAGACTGGAAAACATTATGCCCCTCACTGAGTACCATCATAAGCACTAGGCAGGGCATCAAAAGTCCCTTTTGTAAAAGCATATCTTAAAATTAATGAGACAAGAGGAAACCTGGATGGTTTTACAAAGTTTGTTTTGCTGGAGAATGTTGCTCAAAAAAGATATCGAAGTTTAATATATTAATGTTATTACAAGATGATGAAGTTCCAACTGCAAAACCGATTAGAAGAATTGCAGTCTATTGCTACCAGCTAAGACCTTTATTCCTTTGTAAAATTCAATAGGTTTCTTCTTTTCCCAATTCATATTGGGTATAATTGGTGTGGAAGAAAGGTCATGTTGTCAACTTGATGCTTGTAAACTAAAATTATTATAATATTTTTGTCTATTTTTATGTCAAACATTGGTACTGAAGAAGTACCGTAATTCTTCCAAATTAACTTGAATCTTTTACTCCTAGAAGTTAATTGGCATCCTCAATTTTGCAATATTGGGTTTGATGATGACTTTTGTGCTGTGATCTAAAACTTCCACCAAATGAGCACAAAATCTGCATTAGCTCCCAAAATTGGGATGATAACATCTTTGTGTGCCTAAAATCTAAATCTTCAATTCTTGTCAAATCAACCATTAATATTGTAAGGTCTGTTGTAAAATTTAAGGTGTCAGAAATGTATTATGTTTGATGTTGATGATGATCTGGATGGGGTTTACAGAATAGAGAATAATAATGGGCAAAATGTGCAGAATAAAGGGCTAAAAAATAAAGAATAGAGAAAAAAAGGAAAAAGAATACAGAATAATGGAAAAAAATAAAGAATACAGAATAATAGGCAAAAAATATAAAAAGAATACAGAAAATAACCTAAAAAATTAAAGAATATAGAAATGAAGGACCCCCATCCAGACCTTCGTGTATGTGTTGCCAGTGCAATATCGCAGTTCTTCATCCTGTTAAGTCGAATTACTCAGAAACTGAAATATTAGGAATGTCATGCAATCAGAGTTACGAAGCATAGGTAGCAAAAATTGCCAAACTATCTAAAATTAAAAAAAAAATAATTAAAATAACATTTTTGTTGCGTCCGAAGTGCTTTTCTGGATTTACCTGCATAAGGAAAGCTCATTCCCGGAAAAAAAATGAAAGACACATGATTTATAAATACCCAAACAAGTGAAGAGCTATGTATGATAAATAGGGATCTAAACGAACAAGCATTCTGAGGGTATTGCAGGGCAATACATAGTCCCCTACTGGTTATAATTCATTGTAATGAAACAAAATGACAAAACAAAAAAAGTGTGGAAAACTGATTACTTGCATGTATTTTCTAAGTCCAAGGACTATAACTCTGCAAAAAATCATCTAAACAGACCAAAATTCGAACTTGATCTATAACTGGTCATGGTAAAACAATATACCAAATTTCAAATCAATATCTTCATCCATGAGGAAACAAATTGCGGAAAACTGATTACTTGCGTGAATGTTCTATGTCCAAGGACCATTACTCTGCAAAAAATCATCTTAACTGAACAAAATTCGAACTTGATCTACAACTGGTCATGGTTAAACAATATACCAAATATCACATCAATATCTTCAAGCATGACGAAACAAAGTGCGGAAATCTGATTACTTGCGTGAATTTTGTAAGTCCAAGGACCATAATTCTGCACAAAATCATTAGACCGGAACAAAATTCAAACTTGATCTGTAAGTGTAGTTTGTCATGATAAAACTATATACCAAATATCAAATCAATATAATCAAGCACAAAGAAAAAAGTAATGAAACTGATTTGCCAGACTGCATGACGACGGACGGACGGACGGCAAAGGCTTAAAGGTCAAACATTAGAGCAGAAAGTTTAATGATCGTGCAAACTATTAAATTGCGAGAGAATGCCAAAGTATTAGTTGTTAAAGAAAAACCACAGATTAATCAACCATACCAATCTCACAAATTCAGATTAAAACAGCTGAATATCGCTTGCCACGCATTAAAAGAATGATTAGGGGGAGGGGCATAGACACCGGGACAAAAGAAGACTGGAAAAGGCAGACAAAAGTCAGCATACTGTCTACAGAGCTGTGGTCAGCTCCAAGTTTTCAAAGGACAAATACAAAATTTATTTAAAGTGTTCAAATATTAATTAGATATATTGTTTTCCATACTGAAATAAAAAGCGTAGTATAAGACTAGATTTTTAAAAATATATGTATATATTCAGTATATACATATTGACTTTGCACTTTTTAAGGCATCGACCATTCATCTGTTATGTTTTTAAATTGGGAAATCCAATTATTGCATATTTGTTTCAATAACATTACAGAAACACGATTCATTTTTTACTCCCTTCTGTAATATTGTTTTCTCTCTCGAGAAATTGAGAAACAAACAATTTAATTAAAACCAAAACAATACAATCAACTTTTGGAGGAATATTAATGAATAAACAGCCTTTAAAAGTTTATAAATTGCATGTGGACATATAAGTAAGTAAGGTTTTTTTCTAAATTATAGTGAAATCGGTGAAATAACAGTTTAACAAAATACAAATATGTTACAAAAACAATAAAATACACCCGACCCATTTGGTCTATAAGTCACTTTCAAAATCATAAAACGTTTTCTTTCATCACGGATTATCAAACAAAAATTAATGAGGGAGATAAATTCAAATAAGCTTTGATTTGGTTAAGTGCTAAAAATGCTCATAAGTGCTTATAATTAATGCTTTTACCAATGCTTTGTTCCAGATGCTATTTGTTGGTTTATGTATGCATGAAACCTGAGACTATTTTTTGTTTCTGATGAAACCCATGTGTGTTTTATTTGTATTGTATTGTCGTTGTATGTGTTCCCTAAAAAGCGCTATAGATCGAGCTTATGTTACTTAATTTATTTAATTCTTTATTTATGATTTCAATGAAAAATTAACAAAATATCTGAGATTAATATCTGTTATAGCAAGGATTTACATAGCAAATCCTTGGTTATAGTAATCTCAGATAATATTTAGCAGTCCATATTCGAAATGCTTTGTTTAATTAACAATATAATTAATCAATTATTATGACTTAAGGTGGCATACTACGGAAAATTGTAAAAAGCTTGTATTTTTTAACCATACTATAACTAAAGCTATATTGGCGGTTGCTCCCAAAAAGAAAAAAAAAGATAAAAAAGAAGAAATTACAAATTATGACTGAAAATATTTCTCAAGCAATATCAGAGAAAAAAATTGCGTTTTTTAAATGGAAACAAAATGGTCGTCCACCTGACCCCAACAATCCCTTTACTATTGAAAAGAAAATTACAACCTCCTCACTTCGGAAACAATGCAGAGTATAGAAGCTGCACTTCACAGAATACAAGAACGTCAGAAAATCATAGACGCAGGGTATAATGATCCGGTACTTTTCTATAGCCTTATAAAAAAACAAAGAGGTAAACTTTCACGATTTATTGAGGAACTAACTGTAGATGAAGAAATTTTCCAATCCCCTGTAAATGTAATGAAGGGCTGGAATAAGCATTTTGGTGATCTTGCAAAAAAATCCAACAATAACTCTTTTGACACTAAATATCTAAATTCAATTGAAAAAGAAGCTACCCATATTATTAAAATGTGTAAAGATAAATATAAACATCAGGAAATCACAACTGAAGAGATAAAAAAGGCTGTTTCAAAACTCAACACAAACAAAGCTGAGGACTTCTATGGTTTAACTGCTGAACATTTTTTACATGGAAGCGAGTCTTTATTACAACATTTACAACAACTTTTGAATGTTTGCTTTAAATACTGTTACATACCAGATTTACTGAAAATTGGAACTTTATTTCCGGTGTTTAAAAATAAAGGGGATATAAAAAATGCCAAAAATTATAGAGGAATTACTATAACTCCAACATACTCAAAAATTATAGAAAAGATATTAAAAGAAAGAGAAAACCCGAAAATTATAATTTCTCAAAACCCGCTTCAAAAAGGATTCACTGAGGGCACTTCTCCACTGATTTGTGAACTTTTCATAGAAGAATTTGAAAGAGAAAGTAAAGACCTTAAACTTCCAGTCTGCATAGCCTTATTAGATGGCAAGTCAGCTTTCGATGTTGTGGTACATGCTAATTTGATCCGTCGTATGTTCCAGATAGACTTTACGGAACAATCCATACTATTACTAAATAATCTATATGAAAATGCATCTTCTTTTATTAAATGGAATAATCTAATGTCGAAACAGATGTTCACTATTGACCAAGGGGTCCGTCAAGGAGGTGCATTCAGCGCTGACTTATATGAAATCTACATTAATCCACTGCTTAACATTTTAAGTACATCAGGTTTTGGTGGAAGAGTAGGGAACATCAATTGCTGTGCTCCTACATGTGCTGACGATGTAGCACTTGTCTCCAATAACCCTCTAGAACTACAAACCATGATTAACATTGCTTTGGATTTTAGCAAAAGGGAAGGATATTTATTGCAGCCTACAAAAAGCGTTGTTATACCAGTAAAAACCTGCCGTAAAATTTATGTAATCGAAGATGGATTTTGGAAATTAAATGGAAAAAATATGCCAATCGTTCAAAACGCCTCCCATATTGGAATTCAAAAATCTGATAAAGACTCTGCTGACACTACAGTAAACGAAAATATAAAAAAAGCACGTAGAGCGATGTACAGTTTAATGGGTACAGGCCTCCATGGAGAGAATGGATTAGATAGTAAAACTTCAATATCATTAATAAGAACTTATATTCTGCCAATATTAACTTATGGTCTGGAAATTTTATTACCAAAAGGAAAAATACTTTATAATATTTCTATTCAGTATAAGAAATGGATCAAACAAATTTTGTCTTTAAATTCCAATATAGCTGATTCTGCAGTTTATACCTTATCTGGTTTACTCCCTATCGAAGCTGAAATCAATGTCAAAGCTATCAATTTATTTGGAAAGATATCTAGAGCGAAATGTGATACAATTGAATGGCGGCTAGCCGAAAGACAGCTACAGATAAAACCCCACAATAGTCACAGCTGGTTTATTGAAATCAAGGAATTATGCTTAAAATATGAAATTACTGACTTGTATGCTTATTTAAACAACCCGTTATCAAAATTTCAATGGAAAAAGCTAGTTAATTCCAAAATTCATGACTATTGGACATCAAAAATTATCGATGAATCAAAAGGATATTCAACACTCAAATTCATGGACCATAAATATAACATTGGATCCGTACATCCTTTAGCAATTTCGGTCAGTGCAAATCTAAAGGACATCAGAAAAATTCCTGTACGTCTTAAAATTGTAACTGGGAACTATATCCTACAAACCCACAAGGCATCATTTTCAAAGAATCATACTAGTTCAACTTGTAAACTCTGTAGTAAAGCGGATGAAACTGTGGAACATTTTATCCTGTTATGTGAAAAGTTAGATGAGGCAAGAATACCAATTATGTCAAAAATCCTAAATAATGGAAGCCTGATCCTAGCTAAAGTTACAAATTCGGTTCCAGTTGATCTTATCCAACTTATTATCAACCCGTTCTGTTATGTAGACATTAATATAAACAGAACTGCTTTTGAGGAAACCAGTAACATTTTAGAACACCTGTGTAGACAGTTGCTTTACAATTTGCATAACAAGCGCTATGCTTTATTAGCTAATATAGATAACCTAGGCAGCAGAAAATCTAACTTCTAAATGCTAACTAGCGTAGTATAGGTAGCTTGGCCTTGCAATGACATAAAGGGCACACATGGTCCCAGAATGAGTTGATTTCACATTGAAAGAACATTTTAATTTATTTCTATCAAAAGAATTTATTGTTTTATTTGTGCTGTGTAATATAATAATTTATGAGGTGGCGGAAATTTTTTATATTTTAATATATACTGAAGTGATGCGCGTTGTATTGTAAATTATCGTGTATTGACTTTTTCCTCTATGTGATTGGAGGTGTGCCTTGATTGGCAGAATTACGATCACAGATTACAGATTACCGAAACGTTATAGACATTTTCAAGTGTAATTCAAGCTGGGGTAATATTTCTATTTCGTTACTGATTTAATTATATTGAAGACGTACACGTTTGACATTTAGCGGTAAAAGGGAAGTAACTTCGATTCGGAGTAATTTCCCTTGGACATTTCCGCCAATGTCATGACAACACGCGTAAACTCCCGATGATTTATTTTTGTCAACACATGGAAAGGTGACATTATTTGTTTACATTTTTCAATCCGTAAGTCAAGCCAGTAGAATGCCACATTTGAAGGAGCCGAAAGAGAAAGAACCTTTATGGAAAGAATGGGATTACTTGGCACAGAAGAAAGGCATCCGACACACTGTTTATTCTGTGAATGGTGATCAATTTACTGGAGAATGGCTAGACAATAAAAAAGACGGTGAGATAACATGAAGCTTTTTCCTCATTTCCACAGTTCTGTTGCTAGTTCTAGACCTTAACCGAATTTGTGTATTTGATTAACATCTATAAGTCCTGCATAATCTCCCCTGATTGTTTTATACCAACGTGGGACCAGACACATTCATTTATGAATTCGGTTCCTTTCTCGGAAGAACCCAAAAATATTGGGATTTGGAGAACAGAGCTTTTTTTTTATTTTGATTTGAGGCAAAATTAGGAAATAACAGGTTTGAATTCAGATTCCCAATACATGTATGCCATCCTTACAACATTTAACAATTCTAGCTGTTCAAGTTATTTAAGAAATGAATGCTTCTATTTGTAATTTTATTGAGGTGTAAAAGTGTTGACCGAAGCACATTTTGTATGAAGCGAAGAAGCGCTTCATTCTAAAAATGTGTGCATGATCAACACTTTTACATGTTTTACACCCAAATAAAATTTAAAAAAAAGAAGCATTCTTTTCTTATAATTACATTTTTGTCGAGCCTTCGACTTTTGTCGAAAAAGCGAGACATAGCGATCCTACATTCCTCGTTGGCGGCGGCGTCCACAAATGTTCACTCTGTGGTTAAAGTTTTTGAAATTTTAATAACTTTCTTAAACTATCTTGGATTTCTACCAAACTTGGACAGTCTCCAAGCTTGTTTATGATCATAAGATTATATTCAAAAGTAAATTTTGTAAAAAAAAATTCCATTATTTCCGTATTTTACTTATAAATGGACTTAGTTTTTCTGCCAGGAAACATTATATTCACTCTGTGGTTAAAGTTTTTAAAATTTTAACAACTTTCTTAAACTATCCTGGATTTGTACCACACTTGGACAGAAGCTTGTTGATGATCAAAAGCTAGTACAATGAATCTAGAAGGAAATTTTGATAAAATTTTGTTCCATTTTTTCCGTATTTTACTTATAAATGGACTTAGTTTTTCTTCCAGTCAACATTACATACATTCTGCCGTTTAAGTTTTTAAAAAATTTATTAGATTCATAAATTATCTTGGATTTTTACCAAACTTGGACAGAAGCTATTTACAATCAAAAGATAGTATAGAGAGGAATAATTTTATTAATTTTTTTCCTCATTTTTGATTGAACCTGTGATTAACAGCAAAAGTAGGCGAGACACTGGGTTCCGTGGAACCCTTACGAATTTTTATGCTAATAAGACCATGAACAAAAGTTTTATTTCATGGTTTCATCTGTCTCTCTTCAACTAACATGACTAATGAGTTTCGATTGTTCCTTTTGCAATGTATGTCATCCTCCCCTTTCTTTAATATGATTTATTCTAATGATTCGTTGAGATGCTGTCTCATTGACAAATATTGAAAATCTCAATAAAGTAATAATTAAATATTCAAATAAACAAAGATAATGTTTGTGTATATATATGTCTCAAGCCTACAAATTTTATCTTTATACAGTAGCAATTGTTTTTGTGCAAAAATGTAATTGCAGACGAATTAGGAGGATGGTTTAGCAGCAGCAAACTAGTTTAAATCCGTCACATTCTGTATGTGCCCGTCCAAAGTCAGGAGCCTGTAATTCAGTGGTTGTCGTTTGATGCTGTATATCATATTTCTTTATTCGTTCATTTTTTTGTACATAAATCAGGCCGTTTAAGTTTTCTCGTACAATTGTTTTACATTTGTCATTTGGGAGTCTTTTAAAGCTGACTATGCTGCATTGGTCTTGCTCATTGATGAAGGCTGTACAATGACTTATAGTTTTTGTCTCGCCTGCAACGAAAGTCTCAGTATCGTTGCAGTATACGAGACATAGGTAATACTATCCGACGGCGTAAACTATTTGTAGAAAGCTTTATATTTCAGAAGGTAGAAGACCTGGATGCTTCATATCTTGTATGCAGATACCTTATGTTACGAAGTTTACATCTGTCATGTGTCCATTGTCCTTGAACTCATTTTCATGGTTCAGCGACTGCTTGTAAAAAAAATTGAGATTTAATGTTAAGTTTTTGTGTTTTGGTCTGTTTTCAAGTACTATCAGCAATAGGTCAACTATATGTGGTGTATGGAATGATTGTAAGGTGTACATGTCTGTCTGGCAGGTATCTTGTGACCTTGACCTCATTTTAATGTTTCATTGGTCAATTTTAAGGTTTTTTGTTTTGGTCTGTTTTTCAAATGCTATAAGCAATAGGTCAACTGTATTTGGTGTATGGAATGATAGTAAGGTTTTGTGTTTTGGTCTGTTTTTCAAGTACTATAAGCAAAAGGTCAACTATATGTGGTGTATGGAATGATTGTAAGGTTTTCATGTCTGTCTGGCAGTATAATCTGACCTTGACCTCATTTTCATGGTTCATTGGTCAATGTTAAGTTTTTGTGTTTTGGTCTGTTTTTCAAGTACTATAAACAAAAGGTCAACTATATGTGGTGTATGGAATGATTGTAAGGTTTTCATGTCTGTCTGGCAGTATAATCTGACCTTGACCTCATTTTCATGGTTCATTGGTCAATGTTAAGTTTTTGTGTTTTGGTCTGTTTTTCAAGTACTATAAGCAATAGGTCACTATATGTGATGTTTGGAATGATTGTAAGGTGTACATGTCTGTCTGGCAGTTATCTTGTGACATTGACCTCATTTTAATGGTTCATTGGTCAATGTTAAGGTTTTTTTGTTTTGGTCTGTTTTCAAGTACTATAAGCAATAGGTCAACTATATTTGGTGTATGGAATGATTGTAAGGTGTACATGTCTGTCTGGCTGGTATCATCTGACCTTTACCTCATGTTTTTGGTTCATTGGTCAATGTTAAGGTTTTTTTGTTTTGGTCTGTTTTTCAAGTACTATAAGCAATAGGTCAACTATATTTGTTGTATGGAATGATTGTAAGGTGTACATGTCTGTCTGGCTGGTATCATCTGACCTTTACCTCATGTTTTTGGTTCATTGGTCAATGTTAAGTTTTTGTGTTTTGGTCTTTTTTTCAAATTCTAACAGCAATAGATCAGCTATATTTGGTGTATGGAATAATTGTAAGGTGCAGATGTCTGTCTGGCAGGTATAATCTTACCTTGACCTCATTTTCATGGTGCATTGGTCAGTGTTAGGTTTTTGTGTTTTGGTCTGTTAATTACCATAAGCAACTACATTTGGTGTATAAAAAAATTGTAAGGTGCATATGTCAATCTGTCTGACAGGATTTATCTGTCCTTGAACTCATTGTCATAGATCTTTAAAAATGTTAAGTTTATGTGATGCTTTTAGCAAAATCTTTATCTTTAAGACTTTCAACATAAAATCAATGGTCAGTAAAGCAGGCGAGACATTTCAGCGTGTGCACTCTTGTTAAATTCTATGTCATTTTTGTCTTGGGTGGAGAGTTGTCTCATTGGCAATCAGACCACATCTTCTTATTTTAATATCAAATGTGAAAGTTTGTAACACATTGGTCCTTGCAAGGAGACTGATACATGTATAATCTTCCTGATTCTTATCCTGTTTTCTGCAACAGGGAACACACAAATATATATTTTATTTGGCTTATGGAAATGAAATTAAACCTTTTAGGGAAAAGTTGTTATTGATACTTCCTGTCTGCTACCTACATTCATACATGTATGTACATGACATAGAAAACATGTTAAGGAAACAAACATCTAATAACTTTAAGTGGATAGTAATGACCTTGAACTTCCAATACTTCATCATTTCAGTGTTGAATCATACACTGAAGTCACCTAGTGTATTGTAAAAAAATTACAGTTTACTCAGTGAGTAATTTGATAAACTATATCAAACAAACCAAAATGAAATGTTTGTTCCAACATTTTTATCTAAATATCAATATTTATTTATTTTCAGGTAAAGGTACATACAAGTGGAAAGAAAATGGTGCAATCTACGACGGTGATTGGAAGAAAGGGAAGAGGAATGGGTTTGGTACATACAGTGTTCCTAAACCTAATAATGGATATAGAAAAGAATACTCAGGAGGATGGAAAAATGATATGAGACATGTAGGCATACACAATTTTACAAAAGACATTTTGAATATACAATACTCGCCTAGAGATATACATATATGTAGGAACATAAAATTTCTCCAAACCAAATCTTTCTCTACACAAAAATTTGAAAAATATAAAATTGTTATTACATGTATTAAAAATGTGGGAATATAACATATCTCCTGTACACATGTAGAATTATGTACAGAAAAAGGAATTTTTATTTCTTCTAAAGATTTGTTAGAGAACTTCTTGTACATTTCTTCTAGAGACATACAAAATGTATATAAATACAAATTTCACCTAGAAACAAACTCATACAAAGTTCTTCTAGAAACAAATATGAGCTAAAAACTTTGCCCAGATAGAGAAACATGTGGAAACATAAAATTCCTCATAGGAAAATATAGTTTCTCCTAGTCATGCAACAACTGAACAATAAAGAAACACAATTTCATACAGAGACATGAAGAATGTCAATTTCTCTCAGAGAAATGCAGTATGATGATACTCAATTTCAAAACAAATGTAGAAATAGGATATTTTCACTAAAGAATGTTGGGAACATAGAATCCCCCCCCCCCCCCTTTCCCTTTTCAAAGAAATTTTAATGTGTAGAACATTTAGTTTGAAGGATACTTAATTGCTTTATAGGGCTATTCCAGAAAAAAAAAATAAGGGGGGAGTTGGGGTTGGAAGGCACTTTATTTTTATGGCCATCACCCATACACTCGATTTTACTTGTATACATAACCACACAATTTAAACTTCATGACCTGCCATCAACCTTACAAAAATAATTCTAAGTGCTATCCCCTCCCCCACCACCCACAATATATTGTTTTTCTGGAATAGCCCTTGGGTTAATCATTATATTACTGAATTGTCCGGTTTGCCTTGCAAAAATCATTTTTGAATGTGTACATATTTTTTTTTTTAAATTTTGTCAATCATTTTCTTTCATGCTGGTTTTGAAGGTAAAAAAGCAATAAAAAATTAACAATTTTAGCTCTGAATAAACGGTGATAATTGATTGACTTTCAGGGTTATGGTACACAGTTTTATGGTGATAATGAATACTATGAAGGAGAATGGTATGCAGATAAAAGAAGTGGATGGGGTCGCATGTACTTTAGTGATGGGACAATTTATGAAGGAGAATGGTTTGATGATCAAAGAAATGGACAAGGAATGGTTAGATTAAGTGAGTTATTTTATGCCCCCGTCGCAGCGGAGGTGGTATTAAGTGTTACCCTTGTATGAACTTACGTCCAAAAATTGATTTCCGTTCTCTAACTTTAGTTTGCCTCAACCAAATGGGATAAAAAAACTTATACACAATGCTTATTGCCACAAAACACAGATCAAGTTAGAATTTCGTTGGTGTCACTTTTACTGTTCTGGAGTTATGCCCCTTTGTAACGTTATTGATCCAAGTGGGGGCATCATCTGTGTCACATTTTCCATTGATTTAAGGTTATCTTTACATCAGACACTTTTCAGTCCCTTACATATACATCCAATTCTAATATCGCGTAAAAGAAAATAAGAAGATATGGTGCCAAAGGGACAGCTCTCCACCAGAGATCTAATATCTTGTGCTGATTTTGCTTTGTTACCTAAGTGTTATAATTTCTCGATATATCTATATTTAGCACAGACTCACAGATGTACATATTAATGGCTGAGTTATAATAACAGTTTACCTCCCACGTAAATCCACATGTATCGTAACCTATGTGCAAACAATTTTTCAAATTTCACCGTGTTAAAATTGAAATTATGAAAAAAACTACAGAACTATTATTACTATTCTAAAGTATAGCAAAAAGAATTAATGAACTAGACATTGGAAGAATGTATTGAAATAAAATAAAATTCTGGGAAATTTAATGAATGATCGTGGGACATTAACGTCATGTCAAAACATGACGTCATACAAATGAAAACACTAAAGCTGATGGTTATTCCTTTACTTGTATGCTCTAAATTTGGATAATATCTCATTACAATAGGGTTTTGAGGTAGGCATTGTTTAATTTTCTATTCTATTGCATTATTGTATATATTTGCACATTTATAGATTTCAACAAGTCAACATGGTTACTCACTCCTTAGATACCATATGTCAACTGTGTTACTTAACACACTTACACACCTACTTCCCTACTCCTTCCAAAAAACATTGAAATTTTCACTATAAATCAGGTAACAATAAGACTAATCTCTTTCTTCTTCTAGTTATGTGTATGTTATATTCCTATTACTTGTAAATGCTATTAGTTTGTAACTGCAAATTCATGATTTAATTATTAAAACATATTTGAAATCTACATTTTTTAGCAAACGAAAACCGTTATGAAGGGTCATGGAAAGATGATAAGAAGAATGGTCCAGGTAAATTTTTCTACCTGACAAAAGGACAGGTATATGAAGGTGTATGGAAAGACGATATTGCTAAATGTGGCAACATGAGAGATTTTGACAGAGAGGGAGCACCTGAACCTACTAAATACCCTATACCTGATGTAAGTTATACAAATCTTGAAACAACCCATACATTTTGGGATCTTTTAGGGGTTGGCACTTTTTGAAATAGAACTAGAAAGGAAAATCAGAGCTTGGAATTGAGTAGCTCTTGAAGGCAATTTAAAAACAAGGAGATATTGTATGATTGCCCATGAAACAACTATCCACCAGAGACCAGAGGTTAAGGCTGTAAACAACTAGGTCACTACAAGGCCTTCAACAGCGAGCAAAACCCATACCAAATAGTAAACTATAAATTGCAAAGAAAAAACCAATGTCCTCAATTTTTTTTTACTAAAAACAATACACTAAATACAAATATGACAACAACCACTGAATTACAGGCTTCTGACTTAGGACAGGCACATACAGTACATAAAACAACAACCACTGAATTACAGGCTCCTGACTTAGGACAGGCACATACAGTACATTAAATGACAACAACCACTGTATTACAGGCTCCTGACTTAGGACAGGCACATACAGTACATTAAATGACAACAACCACTGAATTACAGGCTCCTGACTTAGGACAGGCACATACAGTACATTAAATGACAACAACCACTGAATTACAGGCTCCTGACTTAGGACAGGCACATACAGTACATTAAATGACAACAACCACTGAATTACAGGCTCCTGACTTAGGACAGGCACATACAGTACATTAAATGACAACAACCACTGAATTACAGGCTCCTGACTTAGGACAGGCACATACAGTACATTAAATGACAACAACCACTGAATTACAAGCTACTGACTTAGGACAGGCACATACAGTACATTAAATGACAACAACCACTGAATTACAGGCTCCTGACTTAGGACAGGCACATACAGTACATTAAATGACAACAACCACTGTATTACAGGCTCCTGACTTAGGACAGGCACATACAGTACATTAAATGACAACAACCACTGAATTACAGGCTCCTGACTTAGGACAGGCACATACAGTACATTAAATGACAACAACCACTGAATTACAGGCTCCTGACACATACAGTACATTAAATGACAACAACCACTGAATTACAGGCTCCTGACTTAGGACAGGCACATACAGTACATTAAATGACAACATCCGCTAAATTACAGGCTTCTGACTTAGGACAGGCACATACAGTACATTAAACGACAACAACCACTGAATTACAGGCTCCTGACTTAGGACAGGCACATTAAGTACATTAAATGACAACAACCACTGAATTACAGGCTCCTGACTTAGGACAGGCACATACAGTACATTAAATGACAACAACCACTGTATTACAGGCTCCTGACTTAGGACAGGCACATACAGTACATTAAATGACAACAACCACTGTATTACAGGCTCCTGACTTAGGACAGGCACATACAGTACATTAAATGACAACAACCACTGAATTACAGGCTCCTGACTTAGGACAGGCACATACAGTACATTAAATGACAACAACCACTGAATTACAGGCTCCTGACTTAGGACAGGCACATACAGTACATTAAATGACAACAACCACTGAATTACAGGCTCCTGACTTAGGACAGGCACATACAGTACATTAAATGACAACAACCACTGAATTACAGGCTCCTGACTTAGGACAGGCACATACAGTACATTTAATGACAACAACCACTGAATTACAGGCTCCTGACTTAGGACAGGCACATACAGTACTGTAAATTCAGAAATTATTGCGTGCATTTATTATTGCGATTTTGTCATTTTAGACTTAAATGCGATTTTAATTTTTACGATTTTGAGAAAAATCCTGTTTATTTCATATAAAATATTGCAAAATGCGAGTTTAAATTATTGCGTTAACAACTCTGTCGCATTTGTCGCAATAATTAAAACCTCGCAATAATTTCTGAATTTACAGTACATTAAATGACAACAACCACTGAATTACAGGCTCCTGACTTAGGACAGGCACATACAGTACATTAAATGACAACAACCACTGAATTACAGGCTCCTGACTTAGGACAGGCACATACAGTACATTAAATGACAACAACCACTGAATTACAGACTCCTGACTTAGGACAGGCACATACAGTACATTAAATGACAGCAACCACTGTATTACAGGCTCCTGACTTAGGACAGGCACATACAGTACATTAAATGACAACAACCACTAAATTACAGGCTCCTGACTTAGGACAGGCACATGGAGTACATTAAATGACAACAACCACTGAATTACAGGCTCCTGACTTAGGACAGGCACATGGAGTACATTAAATGACAACAACCACTGAATTACAGGCTCCTGACTTAGGACAGGCACATACAGTACATTAAATGACAACAACCACTGTATTACAGACTCCTGACCTAGGACAGGCACATACAGTACATTAAACAACAACCACTGAATTACAGGCTCCTGAATTAGGACAGGCACATCCAGTACATTAAATGACAACAACCTCTGAATTACAGGCTCCTGACTTAGGACAGGCACATACAGTACATTAAATGACAACAACCACTGAATTACAGGCTCCTGACTTAGGACAGGCACATCCAGTTCATTAATCAACAACCACTGAATTACAGGCTCCTGACTTAGGACAGGCACATACAGTACATTAAATGACAACAACCACTGAATTACAGGCTCCTGACTTAGGACAGGCACATACAGTACATTAAACAACAACCACTGTATTACAGGCTCCTGACTTAGGACAGGCACATACAGTACATTAAATGACAACAACCACTGTATTACAGGCTCCTGACTTAGGACAGGCACATACAGTACATTAAATGACAACAACCACTGAATTACAGGCTCCTGACTTAGGACAGGCACATACAGTACATTAAATGACAACAACCACTGAATTACAGGCTCCTGACTTAGGACAGGCACATGGAGTACATTAAATGACAACAACCACTGAATTACAGGCTCCTGACTTAGGACAGGCACATACAGTACATTAAATGACAACAACCACTGAATTACAGGCTCCTGACTTAGGACAGGCACATACAGTACATTAAATGACAACAACCACTGAATTACAGGCTCCTGACTTAGGACAGGCACATACAGTACATTAAATGACAACAACCACTGAATTACAGGCTCCTGACTTAGGACAGGCACATACAGTACATTAAATGACAACAACCACTGAATTACAGGCTCCTGACTTAGGACAGACACATACAGTACATTAAATGACAACAACCACTGAATTACAGGCTCCTGACTTAGGACAGGCACATACAGTACATTAAATGACAACAACCACTAAATTACAGGCTCCTGACTTAGGACAGGCACATGGAGTACATTAAATGACAACAACCACTGAATTACAGGCTCCTGACTTAGGACAGGCACATGGAGTACATTAAATGACAACAACCACTGAATTACAGGCTCCTGACTTAGGACAGGCACATACAGTACATTAAATGACAACAACCACTGTATTACAGACTCCTGACCTAGGACAGGCACATACAGTACATTAAACAACAACCACTGAATTACAGGCTCCTGAATTAGGACAGGCACATCCAGTACATTAAATGACAACAACCTCTGAATTACAGGCTCCCGACTTAGGACAGGCACATACAGTACATTAAATGACAACAACCACTGAATTACAGGCTCCTGACTTAGGACAGGCACATCCAGTTCATTAATCAACAACCACTGAAGTACAGGCTCCTGACTTAGGACAGGCACATACGGTACATTAAATGACAACAACCACTGAATAACAGGCTCCTGACTTAGGACAGGCACATACAGTACATTAAACAACAACCACTGTATTACAGGCTCCTGACTTAGGACAGGCACATGCAGTACATTAAATGACAACAACCACTGAATTACAGGCTCCTGACTTAGGACAGGCACATACAGTACATTAAATGACAACAACTGTATTACAGGCTTCTGACTTAGGACAGGCACATACAGTACATTAAATGACAACAACCACTGAATTACAGGCTCCTGACTTAGGACAGGCACATACAGTACATTAAATGACAACAACCACTGAATTACAGGCTCCTGACTTAGGACAGGCACATACAGTACATTAAATGACAACAACCACTGAATTACAGGCTCCTGACTTAGGACAGGCACATACAGTACATTAAATGACAACAACCACTGTATTACAGGCTCCTGACTTAGGACAGGCACATGCAGTACATTAAATGACAACAACCACTGAATTACAGGCTCCTGACTTAGGACAGGCACATACAGTACATTAAATGACAACAACCACTGAATTACAGGCTCCTGACTTAGGACAGGCACATACAGTACATTAAATGACAACAACCACTGAATTACAGGCTCCTGACTTAGGACAGGCACATACAGTACATTAAATGACAACAACCACTGAATTACAGGCTCCTGACTTAGGACAGGTACATGGAGTACATTAAATGACAACAACCACTGTATTACAGGCTCCTGACTTAGGACAGGCACATACAGTACATTAAATGACAACAACCACTGAATTACAGGCTCCTGACTTAGGACAGGCACATACAGTACATTAAATGACAACAACCACTGAATTACAGACTCCTGACTTAGGACAGGCACATACAGTACATTAAACAACAACCACTGTATTACAGGCTCCTGACTTAGGACAGGCACATACAGTACATTAAATGACAACAACCACTGTATTACAGGCTCCTGACTTAGGACAGGCACATACAGTACATTAAATGACAACAACCACTGTATTACTGGCTCCTGACTTAGGATAGGCACATGCAGTACAGTAAATGACAACAACCACTGAATTACAGGCTCCTGACTTAGGACAGGCACATACAGTACATTAAACAACAACCACTGTATTAAAGGCTCCTGACTTAGGACAGGCACATGCAGTACATTAAATGACAACAACCACTGAATTACAGGCTCCTGACTTAGGACAGGCACATACAGTACATTAAATGACAACAACCACTGAATTACAGGCTCCTGACTTAGGACAGGCACATACAGTACATTAAATGACAACAACCACTGAATTACAGGCTCCTGACTTAGGACAGGCACATACAGTACATTAAATGACAGCAACCACTGTATTACAGGCTCCTGACTTAGGATAGGCACATACAGTACATTAAATGACAACAACCACTAAATTACAGGCTCCTGACTTAGGACAGGCACATGGAGTACATTAAATGACAACAACCACTGAATTACAGGCTCCTGACTTAGGACAGGCACATGGAGTACATTAAATGACAACAACCACTGAATTACAGGCTCCTGACTTAGGACAGGCACATACAGTACATTAAATGACAACAACCACTGTATTACAGACTCCTGACCTAGGACAGGCACATACAGTACATTAAACAACAACCACTGAATTACAGGCTCCTGAATTAGGACAGGCACATCCAGTACATTAAATGACAACAACCTCTGAATTACAGGCTCCTGACTTAGGACAGGCACATACAGTACATTAAATGACAACAACCACTGAATTACAGGCTCCTGACTTAGGACAGGCACATCCAGTTCATTAATCAACAACCACTGAATTACAGGCTCCTGACTTAGGACAGGCACATACAGTACATTAAATGACAACAACCACTGAATTACAGGCTCCTGACTTAGGACAGGCACATACAATACATTAAACAACAACCACTGTATTACAGGCTCCTGACTTAGGACAGGCACATACAGTACATTAAATGACAACAACCACTGTATTACAGGCTCCTGACTTAGGACAGGCACATACAGTACATTAAATGACAACAACCACTGAATTACAGGCTCCCGACTTAGGACAGGCACATACAGTACATTAAATGACAACAACCACTGAATTACAGGCTCCTGACTTAGGACAGGCACATCCAGTTCATTAATCAACAACCACTGAATTACAGGCTCCTGACTTAGGACAGGCACATACGGTACATTAAATGACAACAACCACTGAATAACAGGCTCCTGACTTAGGACAGGCACATACAGTACATTAAACAACAACCACTGTATTACAGGCTCCTGACTTAGGACAGGCACATGCAGTACATTAAATGACAACAACCACTGAATAACAGGCTCCTGACTTAGGACAGGCACATACAGTACATTAAACAACAACCACTGTATTACAGGCTCCTGACTTAGGACAGGCACATGCAGTACATTAAATGACAACAACCACTGAATTACAGGCTCCTGACTTAGGACAGGCACATACAGTACATTAAATGACAACAACTGTATTACAGGCTCCTGACTTAGGACAGGCACATACAGTACATTAAATGACAACAACCACTGAATTACAGGCTCCTGACTTAGGACAGGCACATACAGTACATTAAATGACAACAACCACTGAATTACAGGCTCCTGACTTAGGACAGGCACATACAGTACATTAAATGACAACAACCACTGAATTACAGGCTCCTGACTTAGGACAGGCACATGCAGTACATTAAATGACAACAACCACTGAATTACAGGCTCCTGACTTAGGACAGGCACATACAGTACATTAAATGACAACAACCACTGAATTACAGGCTCCTGACTTAGGACAGGCACATACAGTACATTAAATGACAACAACCACTGAATTACAGGCTCCTGACTTAGGACAGGCACATACAGTACATTAAATGACAACAACCACTGAATTACAGGCTCCTGACTTAGGACAGGTACATGGAGTACATTAAATGACAACAACCACTGTATTACAGGCTCCTGACTTAGGACAGGTACATACAGTACATTAAATGACAACAACCACTGAATTACAGGCTCCTGACTTAGGACAGGCACATACAGTACATTAAATGACAACAACCACTGAATTACAGACTCCTGACTTAGGACAGGCACATACAGTACATTAAACAACAACCACTGTATTACAGGCTCCTGACTTAGGACAGGCACATACAGTACATTAAATGACAACAACCACTGTATTACAGGCTCCTGACTTAGGACAGGCACATACAGTACATTAAATGACAACAACCACTGTATTACTGGCTCCTGACTTAGGATAGGCACATGCAGTACAGTAAATGACAACAACCACTGAATTACAGGCTCCTGACTTAGGACAGGCACATACAGTACATTAAACAACAACCACTGTATTAAAGGCTCCTGACTTAGGACAGGCACATGCAGTACATTAAATGACAACAACCACTGAATTACAGGCTCCTGACTTAGGACAGGCACATACAGTACATTAAACAACAACCACTGTATTACAGGCTCCTGACTTAGGACAGGCACATGCAGTACATTAAATGACAACAACCACTGAATTACAGGCTCCTGACTTAGGACAGGCACATACAGTACATTAAATGACAACAACCACTGAATTACAGGCTCCTGACTTAGGACAGGCACATACAGTACATTAAATGACAACAAAACAATATATACAAGTTATAACTAAAGACAACCCCTGATGAGTTTCCTAACTTTGAACAGGCACATTTACTGTGTTGGGGCTAAACTCTACCTCTTCGATTAGATGAAAAACAATGAAGCACTTAAAAATAAAGATCACATTCAAATCCTCTACCAATAAGAGAGAAAAAAAATTAATAATCTAAATAAAATTGTCATATAGAGTAATATAAATATTTTTTGTTCTTTTCAGGTTAAATTATTAAATGCAGAGTCAGTATTACAAGAAGCCGAAGAACAATTTTTACAAGACCATGATTAGGACACAAATATTATATTGTATTATGTTACTGCCAACTGATAAGAAATATGCTGCATTACAGAGCCAGTGATTGATTTTGATCACGTCAGAAATGCTTGTTATTTAAGATGTTACTCCATATAAATGTTTTTTCTTTGAAGTTCTGATAATTTTAAATGAATAAATTATGATAGCTATATATTTTACACATTTTTTTCAGATGCAACATAAATCTTTCAATTTTACTTGTTATTTCAAGTTTGATAAGTTTTTATCAAGGTGTTGACATTTCATATTTTTTTTTTTCTAGCACCATTTGCCTTTTCTCTTTTCTTAAAATAATCTCTCTCATGTTTTCTAATCAGGTTCTGAGTTCATATGATAATCATAGAGGTCATATATTTTCAGTGGTCAAGGGAAATAACTCACACTAAATTGAGTTCTTACTCTCGAGAACTTGAGTTCTGGTGACAAAAATCATGGAGTCACTTATTTTGAAATGTTTATTTACTCAGTAGAGACATTAAAACTATTTCAATGTTAAGGTTGGTAAAACATTAATTAGACCTTTATTGATTATTCAAATTTTGATAATGAAAAGTACTTTTATACATGTAGTTTAACATTTTAAATTACTTCCCTTTGGTCACAACTTTGGCTTTGTTTACAAATATTCTACTTCAGAAATATGACATTTAAACCATATCCAACAAACTGTAAGTTCAAAATATCATTCTTGTTGAAAATAACTACTGATAAAAATAATTTCAGTTGCTATGCCTACAAGTTCTCCATACTGTAGCAGTTCATTTCTATTTTATACTATGAATTTAAATGATTTTCAGAGGCCTTTGAATGTGATGTAAAGGCTAAAATTTGTATATTCTTTATAAAGAAATATTATCAGAGGATGAGTGCTGATTTAGGTAAATAAATGACTGTGATATGTGTGAATGGTGTCAAGTATGTGTATATGTTTAAATGAGAATGATGGATTAAAATATTGGTACATACAAAATGTGTTGATTCTTGATAAAATTAATAACATTTCCAGTACCAATTTTAATGCTCCACTTGATGACAATTTTGATTATGAATGTTTTTAAGTGATGCTCAAAGCCAAAATATTTAAAAATCCGAAACAAAATAAAAATAATGCAAAGGTTATAAAACCAAAATCACTTTATAAAGTGTAGCCAAAAACATACATAAAAATTAGAGCTTCGCATGAGGGAGATATATTCCTTTATTTGATATGATATCCAAACTTTACACAGCAAATTTCAATCTAACAAATTGAATATCCTTATTTTTATACCAGTACAGAATTAATGGCTACTAGGCTTGTGATAACTCCTGGGACTTGTCCTTGAGCAGAAGTAGTATGACCCATTGGTAGTAACGGCAAAAGCAGTATCAAGTTTACTTGAGCATTTTGACAAATAATGTAAAATTGTAAGTTGTTCCGCTGCCAGCATCATATAAGCATACAACATACAGCTGATATCAGCAATGCTTCAATATGTTTAATGCAAAAAGATATCAAATTGTGAGGGTGAGGAGAAAGATACTCGAGGAATATTCAAACTCACTAGTCAAAAACAATGGCAAGAATAATAATACAATCAAAAGACAAACTACAGTACCGTTATACAAAACACACATAGAAAACCAAAGACTGAGCAACACAAACACCACCTAAAGCCGGTTGGGATTTCAGATGCTCTGGAAAGGTTAGCATTATCTGTTGTTTATAGAAGGTGAAATGTTTTGGAACATTTACAATATTAGAATAGATGTTAACCTTACCATTGAATTGGGCTTGTTTTGAGAAATCTGTATTAAATTTTTCAAAAGGATTTCAGCGAACAGAAACCTACAAATTTACTGGCATATGCTGGTTAAGACCTATGTACATTATAACAATTTTTTTAGGGTCTCTGTTCTTAAGGCTTAATGTTCAGTTCAGTTTACAGTTAGGGTTAGCTATTGGTTTGTTTAATGGTTATGGCCAGTTTTAGGGTTAGTTTAGTATAGCTATACAGGTTCGGACCCTGAGAGTAAGAGACGGTTTCGTTATAAGTCCATGCTTGAATAATTGGGATAAGATGAATATATTCTTGAAAATAATACAGGGAATAATTATTATGGCCTTGTGACTTTGTTGCAGAAAGCAGGTAGAACAACCACTTACAAAGGTCACTCCTAGTGGTTGAAATATCGTCAACTTGGACTTCCTAAATGCAACAGTTAAACCTTTTACTAAGGTAGCATCAATTTTGCTTTGTCCAAATAGTAAGAATATCAACATTAATTTCGATGCTTTCTGCACATTAAAGAACCCTTGTACCAACTATTAAGAGGTCTGTAGGGAGCTAGTTGAAAGGTCACTTTTTCGTCCTGTTCTTCATACTTTTACCATTGACAACACTGAAGGTTATATTCAAAATCTTCATACTGTTCGACCGACTTTGCAAAATCTACTTGTTAGATTTATTATTAATTTGTTCTCGTCATGAATATATATACATAAAAGTTTTTCACTGGGTGATTAGAAAACACCAATCAATTATTCTGTTGGTAAAGAAATTGTTGTAACTTGAGTAAAACACCAGACTAAAAACCTCTACAATGAGAAAAACTGCCTTGGTTGGTCTCGTGGTAGCTTGTTCGCCCTGAGTGTTGGAGGTTTTGTATTTGAGCTCATGTCAAATAAAACCAAAGCCTTAAACATTGTATTTGTTGCTACTTTGCTAGGCATGCAGCATTTAGGAGTAAAAGTTGGCATTAAGTCAAAATAATGTGTATGTGTACGGTCCCTGCAGACTTACCTTGTAACATTGTCACTGATTGTACTAGCACATTAAATATCCAACTCATTGTGTGTGTCTAGTACAAATCCCCCAAAATGTAGACATCTGTCATTTGAAATCCATGCCAAAAACATTTTGAATATACTACTCAGCATTTCCGACTTTATATTTTTATACTATCTTCACTACTCTTGTGGATTCATAACTTTTTTTCGATATGTTATATGGTATTGAGGTCTTCGACAGGATATATAATGTGACAACCTAAGGTATATATATGGTATTGAGGTTTTTGACAGGATATATAATGTGATGTTTCCGTCCTAAGGTTTATATGATATTGAGGTCTTTGACAGGATATATAATGTGAGGTTCCCGTCCTAGGGTTTATATGGTATTGAGGTCTTTGACAGGATACATAATGTGACGTTCCCGTCCTAAGGTTTATATATGGTATTGAGGTTTTTGACAGGATATTTAATGTTTATATGATATTGCGGTCTTTGACAGGATATATAATGTGACGTTCCCGTCCTAAGGTTTATATGGTATTGAGGTCTTTGACAGGATATATAATGTGACGTTCCCGTCCTAAGGTTTATATGATATTGAGGTCTTTGACAGGATATATAATGTGACGTCCTAAGGTTTATATGATATTGAGGTCTTTGACAGGATATATAATGTGACGTTCCCGTCCTAAGGTTTATATGATATTGAGGTCTTTGACAGGATATATAATGTGACGTTCCCGTCCTAGGGTTTATATGGTATTGAGGTCTTCGACATGATATATAATGTGACGTTCCCGACCTAAGGTTTATATATGTTATTGAGGTATTTGACAGGATATATAATGTGACGTTCCCGTCCTAAGGTTTATATGATATTGAGGTCTTTGACTGGATATATAATGTGAGGTTCCCGTCCTAGGGTTTATATGGTATTGAGGTCTTTGACATGATATATAATGTGACGTTCCCGTCCTAAGGTTTATATATGGTATTGAGGTTTTTGACAGGATATATAATGTGACGTTCCCGTCCTAGGGTTTATATGGTATTGGGGTCTTTGACAGGATATATAATGTGACGTTCCCGTCCTAAGGTTTATATGGTATTGAGGTCTTTGACAGGATATATAATGTGACGTTCCCGTCCTAGGGTTATAATGGTATTGAGGTCTTTGACAGGATATATAATGTGACGTTCCCGTCCTAAGGTTTATATGATATTGAGGTCTTTGACAGGATATATAATGTGACGTCCTAAGGTTTATATGATATTGAGGTCTTTGACAGGATATATAATGTGACGTCCTAAGGTTTATATGATATTGAGGTCTTTGACAGGATATATAATGTGACGTTCCCGTCCTAGGGTTTATATGATATTGAGGTCTTTGACAGGATATATAATGTGACGTTCCCGTCCTAGGATTTATATGGTATTGAGGTCTTCGACAGGATATATAATGTGACGTTCCCGACCTAAAGTTTATATATGGTATTGAGGTTTTTGACAGGATATATAATGTGACGTTCCCGTCCTAAGGTTTATATGATATTGAGGTCTTTGACAGGATATATAATGTGAGGTTCCCGTCCTAGGGTTTATATGGTATTGAGGTCTTTGACAGGATATATAATGTGACGTTCCCGTCCTAAGGTTTATATATGGTATTGAGGTCTTTGACAGGATATATAATGTGACGTTCCCGTCCTAAGATTTATATGATATTGCGGTCTTTGACAGGATATATAATGTGACGTTCCCGTCCTAGGGTTTATATGGTATTGAGGTCTTTGACAGGATATATAATGTGACGTTCCCGTCCTAAGGTTTATATGATATTGAGGTCTTTGACAGGATATATAATGTGACGTTCCCGTCCTAAGGTTTATATGATATTGAGGTCTTTGACAGGATATATAATGTGACGTTCCCGTCCTAGGGTTTATATGGTATTGAGGTCTTCGATAGGATATATAATGTGACGTTCCCGACCTAAGGTTTATATATGGTATTGAGGTTTTTGACAGGATATATAATGTGACGTTTCCGTCCTAAGGTTTATATGATATTGAGGTCTTTGACAGGATATATAATGTGACGTTCCCGTCCTAAGGTTTATATGATATTGAGGTCTTTGACAGGATATATAATGTGACGTTCCCGTCCAAGGGTTTATATGGTATTGAGGTCTTCGACAGGATATATAATGTGACGTTCCCGTCCTAAGGTTTATATGATATTGAGGTCTTTGACAGGATATATAATGTGACGTCCTAAGGTTTATATGATATTGAGGTCTTTGACAGGATATATAATGTGACGTCCTAAGGTTTATATGATATTGAGGTCTTTGACAGGATATATAATGTGACGTTCCCGTCCTAGGGTTTATATGATATTGAGGTCTTTGACAGGATATATAATGTGACGTTCCCGTCCTAGGATTTATATGGTATTGAGGTCTTCGACAGGATATATAATGTGACGTTCCCGACCTAAAGTTTATATATGGTATTGAGGTTTTTGACAGGATATATAATGTGACGTTCCCGTCCTAAGGTTTATATGATATTGAGGTCTTTGACAGGATATATAATGTGAGGTTCCCGTCCTAGGGTTTATATGGTATTGAGGTCTTTGACAGGATATATAATGTGACGTTCCCGTCCTAAGGTTTATATATGGTATTGAGGTCTTTGACAGGATATATAATGTGACGTTCCCGTCCTAAGATTTATATGATATTGCGGTCTTTGACAGGATATATAATGTGACGTTCCCGTCCTAGGGTTTATATGGTATTGAGGTCTTTGACAGGATATATAATGTGACGTTCCCGTCCTAAGGTTTATATGATATTGAGGTCTTTGACAGGATATATAATGTGACGTTCCCGTCCTAAGGTTTATATGATATTGAGGTCTTTGACAGGATATATAATGTGACGTTCCCGTCCTAGGGTTTATATGGTATTGAGGTCTTCGATAGGATATATAATGTGACGTTCCCGACCTAAGGTTTATATATGGTATTGAGGTTTTTGACAGGATATATAATGTGACG